ACTTTTTGCTATTATTGAATATAACCAGGGTCAAGAATTGCGACAAAGAGATGCATTCGTAAGTAAGAGCACGTAAGACCAGAAAAGGCTAAAGCGGTCGCTGAAACAACCGAGCGATCGAGAGTAATGAAAGGACATATATAGTGGGCTGCAAGTAGCACACATACATAATGTCGACCGAAATGCACTCGGCGTTACTTATGGAATCATAGCTAAGAATTTGGAGCGAGTGAGTAAGATGGCTAATGAAAGGGCACGTTCTACACGTGACTATGGTTATCACACTCACGAACAACACCTCTGAAATCCAAACAAAGGCCTTAGGCTCAGGACACTTAATATGGAAATGGTGTTTGACCAAGGAAATAGGAGAGCGACAGGATCGTTAATAGGCGGTAGCAGTCGAAGCCACGTACTTGGATTTCCGTAATGAGGCCACCACGGAACATCCAGGGTTCATGTTCGCCTGACATGGCCATCTCACTGTATCCCGGAGAGAACCCTATAAGAATTAAAAAATAATAAAAAAGAAAAATAAATTATAAAATAAAAGCCCGACAGCTTAATTTTTAATTCAAATTAGTTTTTTTAAGTAACATACAGTCACTTGTCGGGTTATCTTACTACAATGTTTGTCCAAATGCATGAGAAGCTATTGCGAATTTTATAAAAAAACGGGGGAAAAGCCAATCTTTCTGAGTTTTATTTTGATCTCTAACTTTCCATGTAGAGCCGATATTGGTTTGTAGACTATTTACGGATACATTCCCGTAGATCTTACTGCCTATTGATTGTACCTGTAAGTTTAAGTATCGCGCGCAAAATTTTGATTATTTGAATAATTATTTCCTATTATTTTCTACTTTTATACGCTAAACGTTTTAACTTACTTTTTCTTCCCTGTCATATGACCCAACCATAAAACTCCTTAATAACACCGCTCCTGTAAAACAAAATGATGGGGCTAGCCCTATATAGGTACCTCGGCATATGAGAATGTTGGCGAAATCTTAATGCACACAACAGCAAATACCTCACTGTAAGCATTAAATATTCTATTCTATACTATATACTCCCGATCAACAACCGGCAAGACAGCA